TATACCTCGCGTTGCAGACTAACTCTTACAGATATGCCGCGGGCAAAGTGGCAGCCTTTCTGGCTCTTCCGCAAGTCAAAGGGAAGAGATCCCTGCTCCACTGGAGCCGTGGAGCGCGCATGGGCGACAGTGCCTGGGCATGAGCGCGTTGCCTGGCGCATCCAAAGCCGGATCCTCAATGGAGCTCTGGTGACCGCCGAAGATACTGCGGATCACAATGACCCGACACTGGGTCCGGACGTCGACTTCACCCACAGATTCGAAATACAAGAATCCAACCCGGAGCCAAAACTGGCTTCCGATGATTGGGTGAGCACCATCGTCGACGACTGGATGGTTCCTCCGGACTCGGACACTCCAGTGTCTGACCCAGTCCCTCCTCCAATCGCGCCCGCTGCTCAACCGCCCTGTGCTGCTCATCTCACCGAAGCAGCAATTCGGCCCAAAACATACAAAACCAAACCGCCCGTCGAGGAGGTGATAAAGCCCGTTGATAAGGCCTCTCGTCTCGAGAGAGCTTTTCAGCTCGTCAGGAATATAGAAAATCAGCGTGATGATTTGCGTAAAGACCTACGCAAAATGCAAAACGAACTCGACAGTACAGCCAAAGAGAATACAGACCTAAAATTGAAGCTCGGAAAACAAGAGGAGCTTTTTCATGACTACATAGACACAACACTCCGTAACTATCCCAGGGAAAACGGCCAGCGCATGCAAAAAGGAGGATTCCAACAACGATATCGGCTCAGACCTCGAGTCTAACTATGACGAGGATTAGGTAAACTAACCATTAACTTAGGTAACTGCAGAATAATGTATTGCGATGTATATGTATGGTACACCCATACTTTTTTTGTTATACAATGAGAGTAAGAATGAAAATTGCGAATGAGATCGGGTTGTGGCCTTCTTCAGCCTCAAACCTCTTCATAGGCGACGAGGCCTTGGCATTCCTTCATGCTCGCTCGTCCTCCTTGACGAGCCCGGACATTGTCTGGCGTCAGGGTGCGCTCTTTGCTCAGGATTATGCAGTGCCGGGAGAGCCGACAGAAACACTGGATGCGTCCCTCATACTTGCACACGCACCCGTCGAGTGCCATCCTTCGCGTGGCGCTCTCGCTCCCTCTCTCGGCTTCCAGGCCGGCTCGGCCACCCACTGCCTTCTGGACTGCTCCTGCCTGGGCCCCATTCGACGCGTAGGCTGACGCGTTCACCGTGATCTCGCTTCCGCGGGTCCAGCCGAACCGGAAATAAAATCCCCCTAAAAATACGCGATCAAATAACTTCATCTGACATGAACCCGTCTACTTGGATAGCTTTGGGTGACACTGGCACATCGCTACAAACCTGTCGCCAGAGCACTCGGCAGATGAACACTGAGTCCCATCGTCCACAGCCATTTAGCGCTGCTCGGACAATCCCACTTCGTCCTCCCGACTCCGTCGGTGGTGGTGGCCGTGGCGGCCTGGCCCGCCGGGTCTTCTTCCAGCTCGACTTCTTCCATCTGAACGGACAGGCTGCGCGAGTCCTCCGGCTTCTCATCCGCCGTCGCGATCTCTTCTATGGCTCCGCCTTCCAGCTCAGCGGAGGGCGCACTCGGAGTATTCCGTCTTCGGGCCAAAGCCTCCGCCACACTCCGATAAAAACGGCGCACGGCCCAACCGCCTACCCACCCTGCATAACCCAAAATAAGGGTTCCCCAGTCGGGCCCGGGGTTGGCCCCGAGGTGCGCTCCCATGTCCTTAACCATTACAACTTCGCGCGGATGCCTTCGGTACAACACGGAGTTTTCGGCGCTGAGCTCAACTTCGCGACCAGATCGCAGACGCATTCCCTGCTTGAGAGCTCAGTGTCAGTTGGGGCCGACTTCTCGTCCTTCTTCACAGGTCGACTTCGCTACAGGACTTACCTTCAGACCTCGTGTCCTGCTCGGGGGATCTCTCGACTGGATGCTCTCTTCGTCTTCACGTGCCCTCGATCTCGGGGACTCGGGGACGCTACTCAGAATGATGCCTGAACACTCAGCTCAACTCTAACTAACGACGGTGCAACCACCAGAACCAATCAATCCAATTCAACTCTTTCTGGAAGTGTCACTATTCTTCTATGACGATGTGGGAGACCCGATTTTCTATGGATCTCTCCATGGATATCCTCCATATCTCTATACATAAAAATGACATACGCCCGCTCGGATGACTCTTATGCGCTCCTAAACTACGCGACCCAAAATCCTCAGTTTCCGCAGAAAGATCCGCCTCAGTGCAGGGATGGGTTCGGGGGGAAAAAATCCCCTCCAACATTTATAGCTTTCCCGTGAGCTCAATTTTCCCTCCGTTCTGCCTACATTGTCGTCTTCTGATCATTGTGAAATAAGCTGACGGTGGGCGCTCTTTAGCGCTTACGTTTGAGTATGACCGAGATTCAATGTGATCGATTGCTCTATCCCTCGACTATTCAAGTACGTTGGTCATTAATACTGTGAGGCGAGTTGGACGGGGAAAAAATCGTCCAGTATGCCACCGAAGCGACCTGCTATTGGTCGATGGACGCCACAGGTTCGTAAGAAACGAGTTACTCGTCGGAGCGAAAATGAGGAGGAACGCTCGGCACGATTAGGGATGAATAACGAACCCAATCATATTTGCATCAGCCTTCGATTGCGCTCTCTGGATCGACGAGGAACATGATACTCTGAATTCCGAGAATCGCACCGCAGGTTGACGGACATATGAAGGGAAATTCGATGAGGAAATCAAATCGAACAAAACTCGGCATGATGGTAAGGAAAGCCAACCCATTACTTGGAGACAATCATATGTTGAAAGGAGCTCGGCGAACACGGTATACGGAAGTGACAGGGAAGTTCTCTTTCGCGGGCGAATCGCTGTGTTGTGGTGATTTTGATCCTCTCACTTGGTAGCTCGAACCGCCTTGGCGGCGGCTACTTCCAGCTCAAATCAGAGCGCGCGAAATTCAAATCAAATCAGAGCGCGCGAAATTCAAATCAGAAGCGGATACGTATGTACATAGATGGGGAAAACCCTATAAAAATTACTGCGTATTAAAGCGAAAGATGCGTTACTGCGATTTGGTGCTACAAATTTGCCATGAAGAAGCAGCAAAGGAGTTTCTTCAAGATGCCGGGATCATTCCAAGACAAAGATTCTGTTCTGAGGGACATTTGATGCTTTTCGAGCCGCTAGCAGCTCGATACAGGTGTCGTAAAGGGGATTGCAACGTAAAGATCGGCTTGAGGCAGCATACATGGTTGAGCCAGACACGTTTGCCTCTTAGAACAGTAGTGCTCTACTTGCACATATGGGCTCACGGCAGAACTGCCCGAAAACACGTCGAGGAGGAGCTCGGAATCGCAAGCAAAGCTATAGGATCTTGGAACTCCGCTCTGAGAGATATCGTGGTTGAGGAACTGTCGAACCGTGCGCCGATAGGCGGGGTCGGTCTCACCGTAGAGATAGATGAAACCCTGTTTTCCAAACGGAAATACCAACGTG